CAATTCTTGCATTCTTGTCAATAATACAATTACTACAAGGAAAAGAAAAGAAAAGATCATATGTTAGGACTTAGAATCGCTTTAGAATGTTCGTTTTATTATTATTATTATTATTATTATTATTATTATTATTATTATTATTATTATTATTATTATTATTATTATTATTATTATTATTATTATTATTCTTTGTTCATAGTAACTTGGCAACTAATAACTGACCTGATTTTAGTATTTTCTCCAATCCCAATTGGGACTTTCCCCTGTGCTAAGAGTGAAGCAATTTCTGCTTCTGTTTGGTAGTAATCAGCCCCCATCATCAAAGTATCCTTTAATAAAATTCGACAAAAAATTACAAACTTAACTTCATTTATATTTTATGTTTTTGTATATGTTTGCAGCAAATTGCTATATATGGCTTGTACCTTCAGCTCAACACCGGAGTCTAGACGAGAGCGTTCGCCAACTATAGAGTGCTCGACTATGCATTCACGTAGGAAGCACCCGTGTGCGATTATTGCATCCTTAATCTTTGGAAAAAAATTCAGTTAATTCAGAAGTTAGAATAAGGTTATGTTTGGTAACTAAATAAGCTAGTTTATAGCTTCTTTGGTTAGCTTAGAGGCTTCCTGTATTCAAATAAGCTTTGTTTGGTAGGACGAGTTTTTTTAAAAAGCTCAACTTTGAGTAGCTTTTCAAATAAGCTCGTTGAAATTATTATTTTAGCTAGTTTATCAGCTAATTTTACTAAACACTATTATCCTATAAGTTAGCTTTTCAACTTTAAGTCATAAGCTATAAGCTCGAAAATCACTTACAAGCTATAAGCTAGCTTAAATCAGCTAACTTCACAAAACATAACCTAAGAATCAAAATAAGAGGATAATTTCCGACTATACCAAAATATGAAATTTTGCTTACCTTGCAATTGTCGATTTTAGTTGGCGGCAAGAAACCAGGAGACGTGTAGAAAGGAGTCTTTGGATCATAAAATTCAAATTTCGGAAACTGCAATCATGAGATCAATCAATGCAGAGGCTTAATTTCGAAAAATAATCCGAAAAGAATGAACTTTTTAACTTAAATAATGATCCAAGTTTTAAGGAGTTTGGTAATGAACCTCGTCAGCAAGAGCTAAATTAGCGTCATAGAATGATTTTATTGTTCCAATATCCTCCCAATAGTCTCTAAATATATATGCCTGTAAAAGAAATGAAAAAAATAAAAAATCAAGAAGAACCAAACCTAAGCATATTATTTTCCTTTTTTTTCACCTTTTCATATTTCACATTAAAAAAGCAAGAGAATCAATCATTTTCTAACCTGCACATTATGTTCCTTTACTGCTGAGGGAATTATTTCAGATCCAAAATCATTCGAGCTGGGGTAACTCGACTTAAGTAGCTTCAATAACACATCTGTCCTAAACGCGTAAACTCCCATAGACGCTATAAATGGAGATTTTATGGCATCATGTGGAGATAATCCTATGATAGAAGTATCTACTTGCTGCATGTAAGAAAAAGAAAAATTGAAACTCATATTAATGATTGAAAGCATATTAATTTTCTTCTGTACGAAAAATTCGGGATTTACCATTGCTTTCTTTTCAGCATCTTTCGGTTTTTCGGAAAATTGAGTGATTTGACCCCTGCTGTCGATTTTCACCAGTCCAAAAGCGGATGCTCGGCTGTGAAATTTTTAGAAATCGAGCCAAAATTTGAGAGACATTCATAAGTAGTAATAGTATATATTTATGTTTAGCTTCACTAACCTGTCACCAACCGGAGCACATGAAAGCGTGATGTCAGCATTGCGGTCAATGTGGTTCTGTACAAGCAGTCAAGCATTAAAACAACGTGAGCTGGCTCTTATAATCGTGTACACGTGTCTTTCTTTTTTTTTTCTTTAGAAAAATGTATGTTGAAAAAATCGGCATGCCTGAATAAAGTCCATGTAGTCCATTCTATAAAGATGATCCCCCGATAGAATCAAGATGTTATCAATGTCTTTCGCCTTGGCATCCTGCAAACAAGGAATTAGTCGAGCCATAACACTCGAAAAATATACATGAAAAAAAAAAAAA